AACCCGCTGCTGCATCAATTGGTATCAGAGCAAAGATCCATAGATTTCTCTACTGGTCACAGCAACCAAACCACACACTACTTTTCACAGCAATCAAACCAGTACTGTTCAACCCTAAAACCCAAGCAAACCCTAGCCACCACTGCCGCTGCCATCATCCATCACAACCATCATAGTATTTACCCACTGTTCACTGTCGTCTTAACCAAATCAGTCATCAAACACAAGCCATCTACAAACCCTAGCACCAATCCCAACATCAACCCTAAAACCAACCAAGCCAAAAAAAAAAAAAAAAACAAAGAGATCCACGCTTTTAGCCCTCGCCATCGGAAATCCTTGTGTGATTGTCGTCATCAACAATAGCCCTTGCCGGAAATCAGTCGCAGTAGTTTTCTCTCGCCGTCACTGCTGCCATCCTCACGTCATCCAAGCCTTGCGTAGCTCGTAAGTCTAACTTCAGCCAAGAACTTTGTGCACTCTATTGCAACTCTCACCGAGATTTCAGCATTATTCTGGAAAGTCAATTTTGGAATATTTATTCACCAAAATTTCGGCGTGACTGATTTTGGAAAGTCAACTTTGGATTATTGCAATCTGCGCAACTATTTTGGAAGGTCAACTTTGGGTTATTGAAAATCTTTGCAATCCTTATTGTCACCAAAATAAATTTTAGCACTACTGATTTTGGAAAGTCAACTTTGGATTATCCCGTCTGGTTTGGAAAGTTCAGATTTGGGTTTGGAAAGGATATATTTTGTTTCCTTATAAACCAGATTTGACCAAACTCAAATTTAAAATAGTCAGATCCAGCCCATATCAGGAAGTAGCAGATTGAGTATTCAGGCCCAAGCTTAGCCCAGTTCAGAAGATCAGACCAAATTTCAGAGCCACAACAGAATAGTTCAGCCTGTTCAGTAGTAGACTGACAAAAAAAAGAAAAGAAAAGAGAGCACAGAATTCCTACTTCAGTTTGAGCAGCTATTTTGGGGTAAAATCTTCAACACTCGGACCATGCAATTGGGATCTACACAGTACTTTGGAAAAGGTACACGTTCTTCACTTGAAAATTGTTTTAGTACTTTTATCTTTTTGATTGGTTTAGAAATTGCAAAAGGTCCTAATTGAACCCATTTGATTATTGAACCAAATTATTTATTTCTTTTACTATTATTTTCCTTTGAGTGCTTTTCTTGCCAAAGGTTTTCCACCTTATTTTTGCACCTAAACACTTACAATCAGTGCATGAATTTTGGCATAATCGATTTTATTGCATTATGATTTTCTTAGTTGTGCATTGTTCTAGTTTATAATTTAGTTTACTTAATTCAATTTGAGTTCTTTGTTGGCACTATCCTCTACCATTCTTATGTCATACCTTTCCACCATAACCATCAACAACCTTCTTTAAACTTTGTCCAGACCTAGCTGATGCATCTTCTTAACGATGCCAGAGGAGAACATCGTTTTGTGTCCCCATTGGCTTTGTTCTAAGCCAAGCAAGGTTAAGATTGTTGAGTCCAAACCAAGCCTCCCATCACACGGAAATATAATTAACTGGTGTGAAAATGAAAGGGAAACAAAAACAACACTGAAAATAAATTTGGAACAACTTCTGAAAATTGGAAATAGGCTTTTTCAACCTCCATCCTCAATCAGTCAGCTCATTTGGTTGCTTACCAAAACTGATCACTTGCTTTGCAAAGTAAACCAGGACCCATGTGCTTCAATGCAAGCTACACTCTCTCCAATAATGAAGGCTTTAATTGCTAAAGAATTTTTACAGCATTCAGATTGTGATGTTAGAGTTGCAGTAGCCTCATGCCTTAGTGAGTTAACAAGGGTTACAGCACTAGATTTTCCCTACAATGATGACCAAATGGTAGAAGTATTTCAGATGATTGTATCATCTTTTGAAAATTTATCCGATGCATCTAGTCCATCTTATGGTAAAAGGATCAAAATTATCCACACATTTGCAAATGTCAAGTCATGTTTGGTTATGCTTGATTTGGATTGTAATGAATTAATTGTTGAGATGTTTGAACACTTTTTAAGGGAAATAGGTTATTATCACTCCGATAGTGTCTTTTCATCCATGGAGAAAATTATGACTCTTGTCCTGGAAGAAAGCGACCATATATCAGTAGAGCTACTTCGTCCTCTTCTAACTAGTGTTAAGAGGGGAAATCAAACTATTTCACCTCAATCTTATAAGTTAGGAGAAAAAGTTTTGAACAATTGTGCCACAATTCTTAAGTCTTGTCTTTCAAAAGCTTTACCATCCATGGTCCTTTTGTCCATTGATTTTGCTGAAGTAGTCACTTCTATTGGTCAAGATGTGTCTGAAAAAGAATCTATTGTGTCAAACAAAGATGTCAAGTACAATAGTAATTTCTGGAAGACACTTTGGACATTCTTAGAAACAAATTGAAGTTTCCTTTTGCACCTTGTCCTTTGAATGATAGAAAAATTGAGGTTGTGAAACAAGGTCTAGGAAAGTTGGTTAGTTTTCTTACTAATGTGCACCTAGACACTTGGAATTTGTTATTGCCCATAATGGAATATGCCTATACAAGTTTAACAAATCAATTTACTGGCAATTATTTTTTCGAAATTGTCTATAATTCATTTCCATGCCAGTCCATTGATCATGTTCCCTCACCTCCATGTATGTATTCACTTGACTTTGTTGATTCCTTCGTTCAGCTTGTTCATGATTTTTATGCCGATATGCGACAAGAAATTGTCTTAAGTAAAAAGAATTATGAACTCATTGCACATGCTCGTCATAGGAATCATGAATTTAATGAAGGAGATTATGCTATAATTTGTGCACTGCCTCAACCTTGTCATAAAAACTCCTTCCAGATGAAACATGCCAAAATTGATAGACTTTGCCACATCATTCAAAAATCAGGACCTAATGTGTATTTCTTTGACCGGTCTTTGGATATGTTCAATTTTTGATGTGAAGTATCTGTTACCTAACCGAGGCACCTTTGAGCCTCCTATTTTATTGGCATGTGTTCCTACAGGTGGATTTACATTTTCCTCAGCAATGGAATTAGTTCATCTATCTTTTCAGTCGCATTATATGGCTTGGACAAAGGATATTGTTGATTATCAGAGTGATGGCCCTTATCTTGGAGATATTGACTATTACCTTGTTTGATGGAAGGGTTTTTCAGTTTTAAATACCAGACGGAGTATTGACCCATACTTTTTGGAGATATACTTATGAATTTACTCTCCAGAGGAGAGTTCTTCTCAACCGGGAGGGAATGATGAAGAACCGGGCCTAGCCCAAGAGCTTGAAGTCCATACAGCCCATGCCTATTATTGGAGACGTGGGAAAGAAAGATAGAATTAGGGATTTTTGTTTATTTATTATTATTATGGGATATTTCAGCAATTTAGGGTTTTATTTATGGTAATAGGTTGATTAGGGTTTTCTTTGATGTCTATTTATATGTTGGTTCAGACATTGGGAAAGTGAGCTTTTTATGATTATTATTGACATTGAATTTGAGATTATTTGTGATTTCTTCTCCCTCTGAATTCTTCTTCTCTTCTAAATTCTTCTTCTCTTCTGATTTCTTTCCCTCTATTCTTATTCCCTTTCTCTCAATCTCTTTCTTATTCTACTTGAATTCTGATTTTGAATCGCCCCTACCCGCTGCTGCATCAGTTCTGTTCTTGCTCTTTTGCTATGACTGTTTGGAGGGTGTTATTTGATGTGTTAGGGGTTCCTTTCCAACAGTTTGAGGCTGTCACTGAGTACTCATGGAAAGAGTTTCAACAAAAGTGTTATGCTCTCTGTTCTCTTATGCTATTTGGAGAATTTGGTTGAAGAGAAATGATACTCTACATTATGGTGATACTCAGCCTATGTCCACTGTCAATGTTATTGTATGGGATCTTCTTCATGCTTTGAGTTTGACTCTTGCAGACTTGCTTGCTGTGTTTGATGCTAGTTAACAGTTGTGTTTTGCTGTTCTTTTGGATTTTCTGGAAACGGGCTTTCTCCATTTACCCCGTTTTTTTTTTTAATTTTTATTTTTATAAGTAAAGATGTAATAGAAAGCGTTCGGGGAACGCATCTCACAAAAGCTACACAAGGCCTAATAGGGCCCCCAAACTCTCAAAGAGACAAAAAAATCAAGTATCTCCCCCATAGACTTACAATTTCTCCCAAGAACCCAACAAAAAGAGAGCTAAGAATAGAGAACTTCAGCACCCCCAATAGAAGACTCCGCTCCCTCAAAATATCTCCTATTACGTTCAATCCAAAAGCACCACCAAACACACAAAGGCACTGCCCTCCAAAAATAACGAGCTTGGACACCCACTAGACACCCTCTCCAAGCCCCATTCAGTCCTCACTCCTTGATAGAATATTGATATGAGTGAATCATGGAAGTGATTTTAGGAATCTTTCCTATATCATATTTATCACATGTTTGTATTCTTTCACCTATAAATAGAGGTGATCATTGTATGCAAAAACTAAGAGAGGATATTATATAAGTGATGTAGCTCTTTGGACTCTGTGTGCCGTTGATGTAGGTCCTAGTGGCTGAATCATGTAAAATCTTTGTGGTCTTCTTGTTTCATTTCTCTTCACTTATATTTTGCTATTTAAAACAAATAGGGGAGATTTTTGGACTTAATAATAGTGTTAAGGGTTTGTTGCAAAAAAAATGATAGTTTAGGGGGATTTTTTGCAAATTTTTCTTCTCTCTCACAGGGACAAAGTAGAAATTTCATATTCATGTCAATGGCATACAAACTCCGTAGGGGATTTGAAACTTTTACTTGGTTTAGGATATCTTTTGCAACACGACAGTTTTCTACGACACAAGTATAGTTCAGGGGGATGTTCTGCAATATACATTTATCTTTTATCACCAACAACATAGCTGAGTAATGGGAATTAAAAATACAAAGAAAATGTTCGTACAAAATTAAGGTCGAAATGAGTTCACAACTTTTTGTACCTTACTGAAGAGAGAATGAGCATTGGCTAATCTAGGAAGCAATGGACCCATAATACGAAATGCTATTCTCAACACTGCAACTGATGTTACTGGCCTGAGATGTTTAATAATAAGATGTGTCCCTTCTAGCCATTCTTGCGGAAGGTTACAGAAGAAAGAATGAAGCAGGGCCACAATATTTCCTGGCAATGCAAAAATTGTATGACAGGATGAGAGTTCCAGTACAGAACATAATGTAAAAAAAAACTAGCATGATACTGATTCATGGTGGTGATGTTCAACCAACTAGTCTGAGAAGTACACAAATATGATTATCACTATGAATGATTCCTGAGCTGCATATGAACCGCGCCAAGCACAAGTCTGTCTGAGCATGGCTAAGATTGGGCATCACGTGAATTCTTAATGAGCTCAGAAGCTGAGCTCAAACTCGACTCACGTTGTTCACAAGCTCGTAATACATATTATCTTTTAATATATCTTTTTGTTTTTATTATATTTTACTGTTTTAAATATAAATTGGTATGAAACATATCAAAATCATAAAGAAAACCCTCTAAGATGTGTTCATAGGCCAGTATGAGCTGAGCCTATCATTGTTCAAGCTCAGCTAATTTGTTAAAGGAGCTCAGAATTGAGACTCAAGGTCCTCATTTACTTTATGGACAGTATGGGCTGAGCCTTTAATGAGTCGGGCTTGAATTATTCATGAACACTTCCAGTCTATTAGCAACCAACCATAAAAGTTAGTAAGTTGGTTTCTGAATAATTTAGTTTACAGCTCATGTGAATATAAACATTTTGTATTCTACAATTAATTTGCTTCAATTATTTTACTAATTTGCTTCAATTACTTTACAAATTACACTCACAACTATTAGGTTTTAAAAGAAGCTTTAATTATGCTCACACAAGCGCGCGCGCGCGCACACAGGGAGAGAGAGAGAGATTGTTATTAGCACTATGAAATGTTCTCCTAAAGAATGATGTACCAGTTTAAAACTCAAATTCTATTCAATTCATTATCACAAGGAAAACAATTTAGATGCAACATCACTACCTCCAAGGGATAAAATCTGGTTTTATTGATTGAAGATATTGAAAAGAAAAATGGCTAAATAGCGTACATCATTACAGAATACAGGATTATGAGGAGGAGAAAAAAACAAACAGTAGCCGGTGATCAGCTACAGATATAAATTGAAGGTTATCAGTAAATAAACTTTGTATACGGGAACTCACCAATGGCCGTTGAGGTATTGTCTTGGGCTGCCCATGTTGGATCTAACAATGCATAGCCAACAGCAGAGTCCAGTTCTCCCAATGACCTTTTCCCATCCGTAAGCCACCAACTCTCTTTTATTACTCGGGATGCCTCTATGTAGAGTTGTACGTGAAAATCTGGAGGGAGCTGAGCCAATAGGAGACCACATGCTTGGATCAGCAAACAAGACAACTGCTGGCATGTATAACCACTTCTGGAAACAAAGTTTGATGCGTTGATTCCAGAAACTGAAGGAGTTGATCTGCCCGCACTCAAGGAATCAGTGCTTCCCCCTGAAGGGGAAGTTGGCAAAACAGAACCTTGCCCAACACCATTAGGAGCACCATGAAGACCGTTGCTGGATTGAATAAGTGTTGGTTGTATGTGAACAATAATTTGAATTAGTGATGATACAATTTGAGATGCAGAGACAGGGAGAGAGAGAATTTCTATGACTGCTGTTTCAAGAATCAGCTGAGTATAAGTGCCAGGATCTTGGATTTGATAGAATGCTTTCTGGCTTTCAGAAGAATTTGTAGGCCCCGACTGAGATATTGGTTGATTCTTGTTATGCGGAGCACGCAATGGATTATTTGAAGTATCTCCCATTGATCCAGATTTTGAGTTATTATTTAGAGGAGGGATAACATTATTCACAAGTCCCAGTAAGAGAGTTGCAAAATAGTCCAATGGCGGGCACATTGCAGCATTTGATGAATTAATATGTTGAGGGAATGATTCAGAAAATGGGACCTGAAACAAAACACAAATCAATATATGAGATTGCAGGAAGGGAAGGGAAAGGGGAGGTGAGAAGAAGCATCATTACCTTTTTAATATCTAGTACATTCAGTATTCGGAGAATGAGTTTTCCTGGAAGTTGACCATAAAAATATGCAAGTGTATCACGGACAAATGTAAAATTGAAAGGGTAGTAATGAAGAAAGGTAGAATACAATTGTAGAACTCTGTCAGCTGCATCTGTGGCATCATTTTCAATAAGTCTGTAGATGATTAAGGGGATGACTGGAAGCAACCGTGCTGCAAAATCATCAAAAAATGGGGGATACCTGCAAAGTGCCAAATGAGGAGATGAGAGAATTCATTATGCCTATCACAATAAATGTGACATACCATAAAGTTCAAATCGTATACTGGAAAATGCATTAAATAACACACCAGGAGAATATGAAGATAAAAAGGTAAGTGATATTCTTGATATGTATATGAAATAAATGGGAGCTCCAATTTACATGAACCACTCCGTGCATGTCAAAAAAATAGTTGTAATAAAGACAATAAAACTGTCCCCTCAAAGACGAGGTCTCCTTCACATTTTGTACCCAAAATATGGTGGTCCAATTTGCCTTCATAAGTGCATGCTGACAATGCATAAAGTTTCTTGAAATTGTGGTCACTAATCTCCTAAAATGCCTCAATAACCAAGAATGTGCATTGGCAGCCGAAGGTAACTTTTCACTAGCAAGAATCTGATGTTTAAAGCCGCGAAGACCCAGAGTCTAAACCGGATAGCAATGAAGCAATCATAGACTCCTCCCAGTGACGCTTCTGTTGCTCTTAAGTCAATTGTAAAAGGTCGATGTTGCAATTACTGATCCCACAAATTTTTAAGGGTGCCGTAGTACTCAGATAATGATGGGTAGTCTAGACTGCTTAGTAATAAAAATCTGCTCATACAAGTCATAAACTCGAGAAACATTGCTCTGTTGAGAGAACAACTCAGCAAGAGATTCACAGATCTTAGAGGACTCGCAAAATGCAACTATAGTAGCAATACGAGGTTCTATACTATGCCATAACAATCCCACAACAATAGAATCCTCATATTGCTTAGACTTCGTGTCAATGTTTTTTTTTTTTTTTTTTAGGGGGCGGGGGATCATAAGTCAAGTATTTCAATTTTCTTCACCCTCGCAAAAACAAATCTGTATGGCATGGGCCAAGCAAGATAATTAACATCATTCAATTTTGTCGAAGTAATCACCTTAGGCATATTATCATCCTTGAGTGGTGGTTGTGGTTTATTCTCAGCCATGGAAAAGTTTGGATCAAAATAAAATAAAGAGCAGATTCAAAAGGAAATTTCAGACCAGAAAATAAGAACTAGGAGGCAAAATAACAGAAGCGGTAGATGATATAAGTGCTGGAACGGATTCAAAAATGGATCAGAAACTCCAAACAGAGTGCAAAACCTGGCTGGCAATGTTACGATGCATCTCGAGGCAAATTTAAGTACAAATTCTAGCAGCCCAAGCATTGAAAAAGCATTTAGAAGGCAGAGAGTTCCAAAAACAGTCCCAGATTATAGAAAGCAGGTCAGCCAAACCCCTTAGATCCAAAAATTAGGCGATCCAAGCTGTACAAATTTCAACCCAAAAAAATTCTGACATCAGCATGCGTTAGATGACATCAGCGTGTGCTGCTGATGTCAACCCCTTCCGATGTTCTGCAACTTGACAAAGATGAGTTCTTGGCTTTGATACGCTGCTCTGATAACAAGTTAGAGCTTGTGAGGGTAATTTGTTTCTAGGGTTAGAGAGGAGAAGTGGAAGCATGGACTCGCGGGGGCGGGGCGCGCCCCCGGGGGGGGGGATGCAATTTTCATTGAAGAGAATTAAAAAAAAAAAAAGAAGAAGAAAAAGACTAAGGGAAAGAAAGAAGGATTTTTTTGAAAAAAATATATAATTTAGGGGGTCAGTTTGTATAATTAATAAATTATATGCATAAAATGTAAAAGAATTTAATAGGCTAGCATGGCACAGGGGGCAGGTTTGAAAAAGAAAAATTCAGGGGGGGCATTTTGTATAAATTAATGAACTAGAGGTATAAAAAGCAAAAAAATAGTAATGGGCCAGCATGGGCAGGGGGGGCATGTGCCCCACTAGGCCCATGCTGGCTCCGTTCCTGAAGGAGGAGGAGAAAGGCCAAAAAGCCACTAAACTCTCAAAGAGTCCAAAAAATCAACCATCTCCCCCATGGATTTACAATTTCTCCCCAAAACCCAACAAAAAAAGAAATAATAGAGAACGTAAGCATTCCAATAGGAGTCGCCTTGCCATCGAAGGATCTCCTAATCCTTTCTGTCCATAAACACCACCAAACACATAGAGGCGTTACCCTCCAAAAGTCGCGGGCTTGGGTATTATCTTGGGCCACAGGATAGTGCGACAAAAGATGATCAACCATCTCCTCATTTCTCTTGCAAATGCAAAACCAATTAAACACAATTTGTTTCCTCCTCCTCAGGTAGTCCAAAGTAAGAATCTTCCTTAGAAAAATTGTCCAGGCAAAAAAAGCCACCTTGAGGGGGGCCTTGGACTGCCATACAGCCTTCCACAGAAAAGGAGGCCCTGGATCATCCATGAGGCATCTATAAAGCAACCGCGCAACAAATGCAGCAATCACAACCCTCTCCCACAAACGGCAAAGCAATTCCAAGAACCCAAAAACATCCTCCAACTTTCATGGAATTTCAGATATGTTTTTATAGAGTGGATATATTGTTACATTTTAATTCATTTATATTTTATTTTTTAGTCATTTGTCAGTATTAGTGGAAACTGGGAGTTTGACTATATTTTAAATGTATTCTCAAGACAAATGTTACATTTATCTCTCTTTTTACAACTTCAGTTAATGTGCGTAGGGGTTTTAAAATTCAATCAATAATTATTACTGTGAACAAAATAGGTGTTGGAAATTCACTTAGGGGCTCATACTGAGCCAACTCCACCCATCTGGACTATAAATACCCAAAGTAATATGTCACAAACAATCCCAAAGTTTCTTGGGATGCATGAGACATATCCTGATACAACTCAAAGATTCGGCCATCATTGCGCGCATGCGCAAACATCTTAGCAACACAGTCCAAAGGTCATATGTTGTATCATAAAACATGAACATATTATAAATTCACTCTTCCATGGAATTGAATAACCACCCCAGAACAGTACAATTATCCATATCCCACTGAGCATATTTAGTGTCCTCGATATCAGGTTTTTTTGGGTTCCCAAAAGCCAACCTGTTTTTCCTTTACCCCCAATATAGAGACGAAATGATTAGAACGAGGCAAAGTTTCTCCCATTCAACAACACACTAGTGACATGTTGAGCAAGTGTGTTGAGGAAAGCCAAGTGAGTACGTGAAACACCCATATCCTTTCCACTAGTCACCCATGTCATCAAATAATTCCAAAAAAGATCACAGACGCAAATAGGGCTGTAAACGAGCTGAGCCGACTAGAGACGAGTAATGGTGTGCTCGAGCTAGGCTCGGTCAGGTAATAGACTGCTAAAGCTCGGCTCGAGCTCGAGTCGAGCCTAGAAAATTTAGTTCGAGCTCGGCTCGGCTATGTTTGACGAGCTTCGAGCCAAGAGCTCGATAGCTCGTTTAATTTTTTATATTTTTTTTGTTGGTGGTACTTCGCATCTAAGTTCTAACAGATCTGGAACAAAAAATAAAATAAAAAAAGTTTTAGAGAGAAATAGATTTGCAGCAATAAAAAGAGAGAAGTTTGAGAGAAAAAGAGAAAGAAAGTGATAAATTTGGTCAAAAATTAAACTTACCAGAGTTGATTTTGATGGAAGAAGTTGAGAGATGCACAGATCAATAGTAAACCCCAAAATTTATACTAAAAGTCAGTTTGGATGAAAGACGATTAATTGAAGAAAACAAAGAGTTTTTGGGAGAGAGAGAAATGTGATCGGAAAAATGGTCCATTGGTGGCCATGGAAGTAGGTGAGGAGTGCTGCTGTGTACAAACAGGCAAGAATGAAAGAGAAAAGATAGAAAAGTGAGAAGATACTTTTGTATATATATATATATATATATATACATACATGTACAAGTTTACATGTGAGAGAGAGAGAACAGATGGAGGCGCAATACTCTTTATTATTCCATCAACCCTAAACATAGAAGGGTTTATATACAAAGACAAGATAGGCCTATTTGCATAATAACCACAAACTCTATATACAATTAAAATCTGACCCCAACATAAATATATATCTACATATAGTTACAATCTTACAACCTGACCCCAACTTTGTATATATTATAATTGGGTATGTGTGTGTGTGTGTGTGTGTGTGTGTGTATTATAATCGAGTATGTTCGTGAACGCATTATCGAGCCCAGTTCATGAACGTTTCATGAACAAACGAGTCGAGTATACTGATGTTCAGACTCAACTCATTTATAAATCGAGCCTCATGATTTGGCTCGAGCTTGGTTCACTTATTTAATAAACGAGCTTGAGCCGAGTAATTAACGAGCTGAGCCCAATCCGTTTGCGAACGGCTCGGCTCATTTGAAGCCCTAGACGCAAACCAAGAACAAGACTGACAAAACAGTCCAATAATTCCCAATATCCACCAATAGGAAATATGACAAATTGCAGAAACAATACCCGTATCTATAACAAAAGATATCTGGAATGATTCAATAAGTAGCAAAAACTAGTCCAATACATACCAATAAAACTTCTGGAGACACAACAAACATGAAGAACACTGCTCCCGAACACACCGGCAGCCTAAACAAGTCACAGACTCACAAATATGACCGAGAGACCCTTAGGACATTTTAGATGCTAAAGGAATACCCCAAAATAGGCCGAACCTGAGAAGAGATCTTCCCTACATTGTTGAGGGACCCTTAGCACATTTCAGATGCCAAGAGAAGACCCCAAAATAGGGGTCCAAACCTGGGAAGAGATCTTCCCTACACTGTCACAACTACCATAAGTTTTTCTGTACCAAGGAAGTCACAACAAAAGAAAAAAGAGAAGGGGAGAGAGGTTTATGATCTAGGGTTGGTTGCAACTTAGAGGGAGGAGAGAAAAAAAATTGATGCAAAGAGAAAGATGAGAGAAGAAAGAAATTAGGCTCTGATACCAAAAAGTAAAATGTGTGTAAATTGGCTTGACAAGTAATGAGACCATCCACTCTTTATATACAAAAGAGTACTTCAAGCCTTGCATCAAACCTTAACATATGGAGTACATCAAGCCTTAACATAAGGAAAGAAAATAAGGAAACATCAAGCCTTAAAATAAGTAAAGAAAATAAAAAGTCAAATTTCCAACAAGAGGAAATGCCCATTAAGCTATTACAGATGAATAGATGTAATAAGACAAACCAATATAATTGCTAGTCTAAATCTAAATCATATTTCTATAAAAATTCTTGATAAATTTCTTTATACGTAATAAATTGCACTTCTAATTTTAACAGTTAATGGCATGTGGCCTAGTGGTATGTACTCTTTTTTTTTCCTTACAAAAAAAGAAAGAAAAAAAAAAAAAAAAAGAATCATGTAGAAGAGGATGCACTTATGGATATGCTATGTTATACCAACTTGGGAGACTTGAAAAAATGTATATGCTATGGATAGGCCACCGACATGCTGTAGACTTGCATTTCATAGTAGAAGCCTAGAAGGGTTATTTTTTAAAAAAGGTTTTAAAAGGAATGGATTAAATACATAAATGCATAGAAGTTACCAAAAGAGAAACTATTTAATTGGCTTCACATAGGAATGTTATGCAATTGGGATGACCAAGGAATTATCTATAACCTCAAGATGGCACCTTCTCCTCAAGGTACTGGCATATCATATAGAAGAGGATGCATTTAGTTTTGTATAAAGTTTATAACATTGAACTGAGCATACAAATCGCGTTCCATAGATTCTGGTAAGGAATATTACAGTTTATAAGACGTCACCTTTCCTTCCAGGAGAGATGATTACCAAGAGCCTTTTGCAACTCAACTCGCTTAAACATTCCGTTGGAAAGCCAATGCTCTGGCAGGCCACGATTCATAAGGTAAAATTTTATTCTCTGCTGAAGCTCTTGCCTCTCAAGAAGACTCAACTGCAAAATAGATTACCACATAAATAATAGCTTTAAGTTTCCTGAAATATGACATTAGTCTACAAGGATACCACTTACCAGCGATTTACAGTATCTATAATTGTTAGCATATATGATACCACGATTTATGGTATGACTTACCATAATAGCAGAGATTTGACTATGCTATAGAATATGCCATAGAATGTGCTTTAGAATAAGTTGTGATTTGATTTTGAATTGATTTAGTTTCCTTTCTTGTAATATGAGCATGTGCTCATTTTATTTATAAATACTAGAGCTGTGAATGAGTAATTAATATCATTCAAGCCTTTACGCAATTCTCTCCTTTCTCTTCTTTTTATATATTTCTACTTAGTATCAGAGCCAACACCTTTCCACACTTTTCAGCAGTCTTGCTACTTGTGCGACAGCTACCTTAGGCTGTTTGTGACATCGTGTGACGTTGCCTACACGTTTTTCTGTGTTGCTGTTTTGTGATCAAAAACAAGTATTTTTAAGTTTTACAATTTCTTTTTCACTCTTCTAGGGTTGGGTAAATTGGGATAGTTGGTTTCCAACACCTAGAAGGGCTTGGGTAAAAAAAAAAAATTAGTCTACAAAGAGGTTCCGGATATTAAGGAGGAGGTTGTTTGGCCAGATGTAAGCGGACAGCGCTCCTTAAAAAAGGTATGTATTTGAATTTTTCAGGAATGGTTTGAAGAGACATTGTTATTGTTTATGGTCTGAGGAGACTCATTGATTTATTAACAGAATTTGTGATGTTTTTGGAGTTTTTTATTGTCGTGTGACAGATTATGGCATATTCAGGGTCCTCGACTGTTAATTCTCTTGGCTCACGTTCTGTGGGTGGTGGTGCCATTTTTCCTACCAACTCATCAGAAAATCCAGGACTTCAAATCACTACAGCAAAGTCGGATGGTTCCAACTATTTGATTTGGGCATAATCTGCGAAGATGTTCATTAGTGGCAAAGGCAAGATTGGCTATATTACTGGTTCTGAGAAAGAGCCAGCTGAGTCAGAGAAGGCATATCCACAGTGGTTTGCAGATAACGTTATAGTTATGTCTTGGCTAGTCAATTAGATGTAACCAAACATAGCTGTTGGCTATATGTTTATGAAGACTGCTAAGCAGATTTGGGATTTAGCTCAACGCACTTATTCTCAGAGGCAGAATAAGGCACGAATTTTCCAGTTAGGGCGAGATATCACCAGGATTTCTCAGGGTGACTTGACAGTTTCAGGTTACATCGCCAAACTTCGTGCTATTAGGGAGGAGATGTCATATTATGATTCCTTCCACTCTTGGAAGGATCCAAATGATGCAGTTTTATATGCAGGAATTGTGGAGAAGAATCAAGTGTTTTAGTTTCTTGCCGGGTTGAACGACGAGTTTGAGTATGCTCGTGTTCATTTATTGGGCTTATCTTCATTCCCTACTCTTGAGGATGCATACTCCTATGTGTTGTCAGATGAGAGCCGCCGGACTCATCCATTAGGTGTTGCTTCTGTTGATCGTTCTACTATGGCAGTTCGGGTTCCTAACCTTTCAGGAACTTCACCACCCTAGTCAGTTCAGAGCACTACCACCGGTCCTCCTCTGGGACGACAACGTGGACGGTGTGACCATTGCGGAAAAATTGGTCACATCAAATCTCGTTGTTATGCTCTACATTGACGTCCACCACAACAGAAACAACAGTTTCGATCCTTTGCACATTCTGTTACACAACCAGTCTCGTTGTCAACTCCTGACAACCCCACCTCTACATCTTCTGCCACAGTTACCTTGACTCAAGCTGATTTGGACAAGTTCAAGCAATTCTTCAACCAAATGGAGGCATCATCTCAACCAACCTCCACTTATGCCCACTCAGGTACTATTGCGTCTGCACATAGCGTATCTACATCTTCAACACCATGGATATTGATTCTGGTGCTTCAGACAATATGATTGGTATGTCCTCACTCTTCCAATCTTATAGTATCTGCTCTAGCCAATGCAAGGTCCGTCTTGCGGATGGCTCTCCATCTTCCATTGTTGGGAAGGGTCACATATCAGTTACTCCTTCATTAACTTTGTCAAATACACTTCACGTTCCAAAGTTGACTACAAATCTTATTTCTGTTTGTGGCGTTACCAAACAATTAAATTGTAATATAACGTTCTTTCCCTCTCATTGTATTTTGCAGGATCTGGTGTCGAAATGGACGATTGGCAGTGGGCGTGAAGTGGACGGTTTATACTTGTTGGATGCTCCTTTGTCACCTTAAGCACATTCAGCTTCATTTTCTAATATTGTTTCATCTAATAAAGCCCAGCTTATGCGTTGGCACATACGTTTAGGACATATTTCTTTTGGTTATTTGAAACATTTATTTCCTTCCTTATTTTGTAACGTGGCAGTGTTAGATTTATCCTGTGAAACATGTCATATGGCGAAACATGTTTGTTCCGATTTTCCTACTAGTAGTAATAAGTCTGCTTTAACACCTTTTGATCTTGTTCATTCAGATGTGTGGGGTCCTTGCCCAGTTACTTCTAGTCTTGAATTTCGATATTTCGTGTTGTTCATTGATGATCATAGTTGTGTTACTTGGGTTTATCTAATGAAAACCAAAAATGAGGTATACACCATTTTTAAAAATTTATGACAATGGTTCAGACTTAATATAGTCGTACCATTAAAAAATTCCGATCTGACTGGGGTACAGAGTACACTTATGGGGAGGTACAACGGTTATGTAAAGAATTTGGGATTGAGCATCAAATGGCTAATGTTAAAACTCCTCAACAGCATGGTTGTTCTGAGAGAAAGAATCGCCACATCCTTGACTTAGCCAGAGCAATCTGCATTGGCATGAATGTTCCCCAGTCATTTTGCGGAGATGCAGTTCTTACCGCTGTTTACATCATTAATAGGACTCCTTTTAGGATTCTTAACTTTGCAGCCCTACTCTCAATCTTACATCCCAATTCATCTCTTTTTCTGATTCCTCCGCGAGTCTTCGGGTGTGTGTGCTTTGTTCAGTAGTTAGGGCAGACTCGTACAAAGCTTGACCCTAAGGCTTTAAAGTGTGTGTTTTTGGGCTATTCTCACTCTCAAAAAGGTTATAGGTGTTACCATCCTCCCAGTCGTCGGCGGTTTATATCCATGGATGTTTCTTTCTTTGAGCATACACCATACTATAGTGGTTCAGTTGGTTCTCAGAGTGAATGGTTCCCATTGAATATAATGGATGATCACCTTCTTCCGTCTTCAACTCCTCTACCATTACCTGTTTCTTCTTCTATGATTCCTCCTCATGATCCCCCTCCAGCAGGGGGAATTGTTCCTTTTTCACAGGTTTATAGTCGGAGACAACAGGTACAAGCTTCTACTCCCACGATCGACTGCCCTGTTCCTTCGGCACCAGCTCTGCCTTCTCAAGCTATTGTTTCGCCTGATGATCGCCCCATTGCTCTTCGAAAGGGTAAACGTTCTTGTACTTACCTTATTTCTAATTTTGTTTCTGATTATGCTCTCTCACCCTCCTATCGGAGTTTTCTTGTTTCTGTTGCCTCGGTTCCTGTTCCTTCTAGTGTTGCAGATGCACTAGCACAACCTCAATGGCTTGATGCTATGACAGAAGAACTACAAGCACTTGAGAAAAATCAGACTTGGGACATGATTCCGCTTCCTATTGGACGAAAGGCTGTGGGTTGTCATTGGGTGTTTACAGTTAAGCATAATCCATATGGGTCAGTTGCTCGTTACAAGGCCCGATTGGTTTCCAAGGGTTATGCTCAAAGTTATGGCATAGATTATCAGGAGACTTTTGCCCCTGTTGCCAAGATGAATACCATCCGTGTATTATTTTCCATTGCTGCAATTCGATTTTGGCCTCTATTTCAGTTAGATGTCAAGAATGCCTTTCTCAATGGTGATTTGCAGGAGGTGGTGTACATGGTTCCTCCTCCGGGCTTTCATTCTCCTGCTCATTCTGGTACAGTATGTCGTCTTCGTCGTTCTCTGTATGGCCTCAAGCAGTCTCCTCGAGCTTGGTCTGATCACTTTGGCACTGCTATGCTCAAGTTTGGTTTCCATCAAAGTGCAACTGATCATACCTTGTTTTTACGTCATTCAGGCGGTAAGACAGTTGCTTTCATTATGTATGTCGATGATATTGTTCTTACCGGCGATGATACTACCGGAATCGATGAGGTTAAGAGCTATCTTGGCCGTCAATTTGAGATTAAGGATCTTGGTCCCCTACGGTACTTCTTGGGCATTGAGGCGGCTCGCTCCAAGACTAACATTTTCATCTCTCAACCCAAGTATGTTCTTGACTTGCTTTCTACTTTTGGTCAGCTTGGCGCTCATCGTGCTGATACTTCGATTGAGTAGAATCATCGGTTGGCTGATTCTGAGGGGGAGTTGTTGTCAGATATTGGTCAGTATCAACGACTTGTGGGGAAGCTCATCTATTTATCCATGACTCGACCTGACATTGCTTATGCCGTGAGTGTCGTGAGTCAATTCATGCACTCTCCTCGTGCCCCTCGCCTTGATGCAGCTATTCGGATCCTTCGCTACTTAAAAGGGTGTCCAGGACGTGGTATTTTGTTTGCCAATCATGGTCACTTACGTGTTGAGGCTTGGACAGATGTTGATTATGCAGGATCAATTTCAGATAGGAGGTCTACTTTAGGTTATTGTACCACTATTGGTGGTAACTTGGTTACTTGGCGCAGTAAGAAGCAGGATATTGTCTCTCGATCTAGTGCAGAGGCAGAGTATAGGGCTATGGCTCTTGGGGTAGGTGAGTTGCTTTGGCTGAAAACCTTGATGACAGACTTTTGCCTTCCAGTGTCGCTTCCATTCTCACTCTACTGTGACAATAAGTCTGCCATTAGCATAGCAGCAAATCCTGTTTAGCATGACAGGACTAAGCATATAGAGGTGGACCGTCACTTCATTCGAGAGAAGATCATCTCTGGTCAAATTTACACTCCATTTGTCACAAGCTCTCAGCAGCTTGCAGACATTCTTACAAAGGACATCAGCAAGATTGTGTTTGAGAATGCATTGTCCAAGTTAGGCGTTTCAGATATCCACGCACCAACTTGAGGGGGAGTGTTAGCATATATGATACCACGATTTATGGTATGACTTACCATAATAGCAGAGATTTGACTATGCTATAGAATATGCCATAGGACATGCTTTAGAATAAGTTGTGATTTGATTTTGATTTGATTAAGTTTCCTTTCTTGTAATATGAGCATGTGCTCATTTATCTATAAATACTAGAGCTGTGAATGAGTAATTAATATCATTCAAGCCTTTATGCAATTCTGTCCTTTCTCTTCTTTTTATATATTTCTACTATAATGGAAGTTCATTTGAGTTGTAATTTAAATTAATCTCAAGGAGGAAAATGACAGATCAAGGATGGCAAAAGCCAAATATTATGGGGCAGGGAAAAAATTAAAGAAACAAATGAGCAAATAAATAGGTTCAGCAAGTGGAGATAGGTTTAGCTAGGTCCTTTCGCAAAATTTCTTAAGACAAATCAAATAGATGAAAGTGCTCTCAAGTGAAGTATGTGTACTCTCAAGTACAATATCACTCTCGGAGTAGATGGCAGTGATGACCGACTGTAAATGACAACCAGCGAGACAAGAAGACAGCAATGACAACACGAGGATGACTACAAAAACTATGATGGATAGTGTGCAGATGTGCAAGATGAAGGTCGCTGGTTGACGGCAAGAAAGAGTCCGGCAACTGAAGACGAACATGAAAAGGAGGCCATGGTGGTACTCCGGCAGTTAGTTATGATGGCGGCTAAGGAGGCTGCTGATGGCACTGTGATGGTGGGCAATGGCTGGATATCCTGGCAGCATGGCTGTTGCTTGTTTCAAATGAATGGGTGAGATGGGTGAAAGGCTGTTGGCTTTGAAGGAGTTCATTACGGATTTCAGCTGTTGAGTCTTGTTCAGTTGTCGATAACAAAGGCGATGGCTAAGGTTTGTTTGGATGGTGATTTGTGACTGTTACAATAGTTGTGTTGTTTTGTATTTTAAAGTTCGGATGGGGTGATGGGTTTTGCAGAAGGATGACACAATTATGTTGTTTGAGTTTAGGTTTGTTTCAGTTTCTGTGCAGTGGGTTTGTTGTAGAGCTTTGAGGTTGGATCGACAGGGTTATGACTTTCTTTTGGCTGTGGTTGCCATCTTGTTTGCAATCAAATCAGCGAATCTAGGTTTTAGGTGGATGACAATAACGGTAGGCTTGACCTTCTGAAAAAAGAAATAACGGTAGGCTTGGAAGGGGTTTGCTTAGATCTTTCTCTCAAGTACCAAAATTAATGCAGAATGATTAGGCGGTGTAAGACAAAAAGTGCCCGGATAATACAATTAGAAAGAAAGCAGAGGATGGAAAGAAAGACGAAGGGGATGAGAAGAAAAATGAAAGTGGTGAGATAAGATAAACTAACTGATTAAGAAGAGCAAGAATAAGGGGGAGAAGAAAGAAATTAGGAGAACTCATAACTCTGAATCCAAAAAATAAGAAAATATGAAAATAACCCTAAAAATTAAATATCTCCAAAAAACTAAAAATAAATCAAATTTGAACCCTAATTTTATCTATCCTTGCCCCTTCTCCAAAAGAGAGGCGAATCACATGTGACCTATGCGCAAGTCATAAAATAATCTCCATCAACATATTATCATGAGTTTCTTACACCATGTTGCATACTTGATAACACTTGAGCCACTTTAGAATCCATAAAAGGCTTAAAGTTGTTCCAAGATGATTCAATCTTCAAACAATTGGAAGGAACATCACTGCTTTTCCCCTTAAAATCCACTGTTTGGGGATGAGTTTTTGTTGGTTTTGTCTTTAACGAATTTTTGCAGAGACCATTTATGTTATCCAAAAAAGAGTTAGACCTAGAAAAACCCTAGTTTGATAAAGATCCATAACTATTTACATCTCCTCCAAATGGCCATTAGTGCTAGTCACTCTTATACGATTCTTTTTGCCTTGCACATCCTCGGAGGACCAATCAATCCTTCTAATTATTTCCCTTTAATGAAATGATAATTCTGCTACCAGAGTAAGAAAAGCAAAAACTCATACATGAGCATATCAAGATTTAAGAAGGACAAAAAAAAAAAAAAGATATGAATAAGCCTGTAGATAAGTTTTAAGATGACCTTTATGGAAAGTTAAAAGCAAGGTATAGTTAAAATACTGTCTGAAATAGTTACACTTTCTCTTGTGGCACCACTATTCTATTTCTTGAAACCTAGATTATTTCCAAGACAAATTTTCACATACGTTTGAATCGAAATGGATCTCTGAAAGAAATTTTGGATCTAAAACTTGTGGTAAAGAGCCATTAACATTCATTCCTCATTCATGCCTCAACAAACAAGAAATAGAATAAAAAGAAACATCTTTGTTAAGGAAAATATCTAGACCAGACTTCTGCAATATATTGCGAGTCGAATCAAAATTAAGGAAAAAAAAAATATTAAGTATATGTGCAAATCATGTGACGGTATACTAATAATTGACAGGCAAAACTCATAGATGAAGATAAGTAAGGTATAAATATTTCATAAACGAACCACAATACGCAAGGCATGAGGGTCATCGTCTCGGTCAGTAAGTGCTAGAAGCAAAATGTCCAAAGGAAGAAGTTCATGGGTCCAAATAAAGAATGCCAGATTTGCGCAAGCCTTCAATATAAGGTCCTGGAAAAGAACAACCAAAAGGGAACATTGAAACAAACATAACAGATTACACAGAGTACTGTATTCAGAATCCTTTCTTTCTGAAAAAGAAAAGAGAGAGAGAATGAAAAAGAAAAGGAACAATGCAGAACCTGCATGGAATGTCCATGTTGTAGCTCCAATTGAATGGTATGAAGAAGGACATCCACCATTGTATATATATTTGCTGTCACTTCTTCTGGGGAAAATTCTCTCAAGACATGCCCCTGTATTGCACAGAGAGAGAGAGAGAGAGAGAGAGAGAGAGTTTCCATAACAATATTAAATTTCGCAAGAGAAGAAAAATAACCGCACAACAGAGAAACTCATAAAACATTTCCATGCCATATGAAGTAAAAAGTTACTGTGTCGTACCAGGTTTGCACCATTAATGCTCTCGGGGCGAGCATTCATCAGTACCCATGCACCAGCACAAAGATATTGACGGTGTTGAGGGAAACTATGACTGATATAAGTCATGACATAATTAGGCTCAGCTGAAGGTGAAAGAAGCTGGGTGCATTGATTAATCACAGTTGTTTCTGCCTGCCCAAAAAAGAAAAAAAGAAGAAAAAAAATGATATTTTGTAACTTAATGAAGTCTAGAAAACAAAAATGGATAAATTCAAAACTACAAGAACATCACATTGATTATCTCCATGGTTCTGATTTTAGCGTTTTAAGATTTTGTTACTAAGATTTCAATCCGGAGACACAAAACTCTCAAAACTTGTTAATCACCTATTCCTTTACTTTCAATTGAAATGAAAGCCAACACTCATTTTTGTCTTGAGGGAATTCATGTTAAAAATTGAAGGAACAGTTTTCTTTACTTATGGGAAGCAGATGCAGTCAATAATGTCTTGAAAAGGGTCCAGTCAAAGTTTATTTAGTAGTAATTATGGTATGGGAATCTGAAGAGGTCATGGGAATAGTAAAACTGTTATTGATGCTTTGTGGGTAGCTGAAAAGTATGCTTAAAAAAGACAAGTGTCATTAACAGTTGTATTATATAAGGGACAGGTCTTAATCAATATAATTTCGAGATATTTTCAGATTATAAACGTCTCTTAACCCTTTTCCCAGATTTCCCTTTAGAAATCTAGGCTCCAATGTTGATTGGAGGAACTCTAGTCTTTCTTACTGCTGTAAGAAGACTTCTGTTCTCTGTATGCTTCACTTGACAAACAATATGCCAAAGCCTAAGCCTCTTCCACCTCTTAAAATAAGCGAAAGAATATTGCAAGTGAGCCCGTTCTCCACCTAACCCCTCTCCTCTCCCCTTCTCTCTTTCAAGAAAGGCAGCAAAAAGTCCAATACAGAAATGCCTAAAAATCTCTTACAGAGAACCAAGTAAAAGCTATCAGGATAGAGATTATCTCTTTCAATATCTGAAACAAAATTCACAATATCCTTTTCCTGCAATGAACAAAATAATGAGGCTACTTCAACCTCCAAAAGAAGAAAGCAAAGTACATTTCTTAATGTTGTCCCTAACTGTCTTGACCTTTTCTCTTTTCCTTCCACCAATTCTCCTAATTAGATGACATGATAAAAAATCCAAAGAACGTCAAATTCCACTAATTTTGTAGATTAAACAAGTGGCAGCAGATAGAACATTTTCAGAAAATGATTATGGTAGTAAAAAGATTTAAGTTTCAATGGAAGAATAAAGAATTCATGCCAATCAAAAAAGAAACAACATGAAATTGGTAGATCTTAAAAAATGCAGAACAGAGTGAGGCTGATCAAAAACCTGCTGCCATGCTTGGATTGTTAAGCCCCTTTTGTCCATGCGTCCAATCAAAGCATCACGAAGAATAGAAGGAAAATAGCGGAGTGTTTTTTCTGACCATGTATGCTGACTGGTCGCCAATATCTGTTCCAACATAGTTTGAAGATAGAGCAGATGCTCAGCCTCAGCAACACCACGTGTCTTAATGATAATGGCAAGAGTAGTTATAGTTATCCGATTCAAGGTTTCTGTGAATTCAGTTGGACCCTGTAGAAGATTAAATGGATTTAAATTTTTTATAATGAAGCAAAAAGTACACTTGAAACTTGAAATTTGAGAGCATATTTCCTACCTTCCCTTCCTTCTTCACAAAAAAGAACTCTCTCAATGACAAAATAAGATTCATGCACAAGTTTTCAGCCAATCTGAATATACGATGGTCACCACGTTTCCCTTTTAGTGTAGATATTATCTTCGTGACATCATACATTAAATTTTTGGCTTTGCCTTGGTACCTACAGTGAAATAAACATATAAAGTTACAAATTAATGTCATAAACATGAAATTGCATATACTTAAAAGATACTTTTTTATTTGTTCTATATGGTTCAATTACTTCAGTAACAGCTGAAACCCAGAGATCCCAAGAGACATAGATTAAAACACAATTTCTACAAATAAAAAGCTTCTGTCTTGTTCTGGTTGGGGTATGCTCAAATGAAAACTAGTTCTTAGCAAAAGAAGAGTGGTTTCACCAGATGAACCAATCACTCACTCACCTGTAGAGTGAAAGCAAGCGGTAGTTCAAAATTTCAAGCACCAAAAGAGACACTCCAGGCTTACTCAAAGTGGCGGGATTCCTCTGTGTCAAATGCTGCAAATGTATTGCAGATTTAAGGCACGTTATCAAATGTAGTAATGAGCAAGACAGTCATATATAGATGAGCAAAACCACAAAAATAAATCTGATCCAGAAGAAAAGATCTTCTTATGAGATATTGCAAAGGGTAATATCAACAAAGAAGCACTAGTTTGGAAAGCCTAAGATAACAAAATGAATTGGCCAACTCTATACAAAATAATAAGAAGAAGAAGAAGAAGAAAAAGAAAAACTAAGAAGAGTGGAGAATGGCAAAACTTTCCCAATGCCAATGCCCCACCAGTTACGGACTCACAATCCCCTAAATACAGATTTCTCATTGTTTATTGTTCTTTGATTTTGCTTGCAGGCCTATGACTATGAATTATTACAGCTGCAGATGGCACAACTGCAAAAAAAAAAAAAAAAAATATAGATGGAGGAGGTGCATAAAGCATTATCCAGATTATGGGCAATGGATGATCCCACAGTAACTTTTATAAATAATGGAACAGAACAGAATCTTCAGCTGCATATCACCCAAAGATTACAGAATCCAAATACAGTTTTGAATCTTTAGAACCACAACCCCAAACAAGAAAGTGCTTGATTACAGCATTAGAAATGATCAAAGGCACTTTAAAGAGCACGGAGTGGTTTTGTCTAAAAGACCTTCAGATTTTCTTACAACAAAACTTTTTACATATTGTTAGGATTTTAATTACCCAGTGTTGGTCCCGCACTTGTAAGGTGTTGGGAGAGGAAGAATAAAAAAAGACCAAACCTTTTGGATAATTTTGTGCAAGGTGGCTGCACTAGGACTCATAATTGTATCCTCACACTAACATATGGTAATGGTTTTTACATTGTGTATCAAATTTTGCATTTTCACATCATGTATGGTGGTATAATGCACCTCAACTCTCAAAATTCTATTGACCAAAAGTAAGTAAAAGATAATAAATTAGTATGAGATGACTTCCATAACAAGAAATGTTCATTTACATGACAAATATCGTGTGAAACACTAAGTACTTCAAATCAAAAAATTAAAACAAGGTCGCATATAAAAACTCAATTTTCAAAATATGAACATCATTCCTTTGCGATGATTACATTAAAGATCTACATGGGGGTGGAGGGGTATCATTGTTATTTCAGCGAAATAGTAAATTAATAAACTCATGGCCAGCATTGCTAAATATGCAATTTGAACTGCATTATATCTCTTCTCATTCTCAGCTTTCACATCTATGTTTCTATTACATGGTAACAGATCAAAACCGATAATTGATTATGCACTTCTTTATTTTCTTTTATTTTTCTTAGTTCTCCTTTTTTCCTTCGACTTTTCTTGAAGTATCCATGAATTAGCAGCAGTACTTCAACAGAAGTTCTTACAGAATTATAACAAAATTTTAATAGCGTTTTTAGAAGGAAGAGACGACAATACTACGTTAGTGAACCATTTGATAAGAGTCATAAACCTGTGAGAGAAATTGACTTTTCAAGGCTCCAGAGAAGGAAATTAACTGGATTCAGAGGTAATCCAATGATGAAGCCGATGCTTGGGAATTATGGAGCTTCATTGATGGCTAGTTAGGGGACATTTAAACCCTCCTTGAGCAGAAATTGGGATGGGATGCCTGTAGGACTCTATTTAATAGGTTGTGTATCCGTTGTTTGGCCTTTCTGATTTACATTCTCATCCAACCCCATTGCACTCTTCTCTTCTACCTTTACTAAAATATAATTTCTTTTCATTAATCAAAAAATGAATAAGCAAATAACTTAAAAACAGTTCCTATTTTTAAATATGAAAAATAGGAATAATGGAGTGCCAGAAACCAAATCAATTTGAAAGCAGGAATGACCTGAAACTACACAGGATGGTTTTCCTTGAACCAAAATTCATTTTTTGAAGAGAGTTAAGCTTGTATTTTAGGCTCTTAAATGGTGTAGATTATAAACAGTTGATGCCAACAGTCCATTCATGATGGTTTTTATGCACATAGTTTGTTTAATCATAAAGCATCCTCATATAAAAGAAAAAAGAAAAAAGGCAAACTTGGAGAAGAACCCATAATAGATCTCATTATTGGGTCAATCCTATTACACTATGAAAACTAGTTAATTAACTGATATAATATACAGTAACTTACAAAACATTTACAGGCCTAAAGAACTACAACCTTTAAATGAGAAAAAGAAATAGGGAGAAAGAAATTACGCTTAAGTGTGATCGAAACAAAGTATGTGGTGCAATGAGGAGCAGTCTAGCATAAGTTTCAACCATCGCAATGTTAGGGACGACCTGCATTTAAATGTTGAATTGGAACATTAAAATAGTTCCAAAATAAATGGACTCACAATAGCACCAATAAAAGAATAAAATAAAATAAAATCCATTCAGCCATTGCAGGAACTCGTCAAGAAGATGTCAATATCTAATCCCTACTCTATACAGAATATGCTTACTACAGACATTGTATGAAAACCATGGAAATTTCATTGAATAAATGAACGTGGTATCTAAACCCCATGCATATAAAATTATAAATTATTTATACTTACAATTCATATTCATCAAAATATTTCCAAACTGGTAATTAGTAATCAAATGCGGGAAAATGGCTTAACAAGATAAAAATGACAAATGTGTGTGTATGTATATATGATGATAAAAGAAGTTGTTTTGGGTTTTAGCCAACTCAAACTGAGAGCCAAGAGCTATATTTATATACAAGAATATGGTACAAAGAAAAACAAGAAATACACCAAAATCTACGTGGTCCCGTGAATATGGGGATCAAATCTACGTGATCCCATGATTATAGGGATCTTACATAAAACACCTAATAAAAAGCTAAAAACATCTAATAAAAAAAATAATAATAATAACAAAGATATTTTAACACTCCCCCTCAAGCTGGAGTGAAGATATCAATCAAACCTAACTTGGTAATTGAGGAATGAAGCAAAGATAGACCAACGGATTTGGTGAACACACCAGCCGACTGATTAGAGGATCGAACAAAGCATGACTTGATAATTCCCAAAAGAACCTTCTCTCTGATAAAATGAATGTCCACCTTTATATGTTTAGTCCTCTCATACAGAACAAAATCTGAAGCAAGTATGATGGCTGACTTATTATCACAAAACAAGTCTGAGGACTATTTTTCACTTAGCCCTAGCTCTTCCAAGAAAGATCGAAGCCAGAGAATCTCACAAGTACCCTAAGCCATGGTACGATACTCAGCCTCTGCTGAAGATCTCGAATCTACAGATTGCTTCTTACTTTTCCAAGATATAAGATGGTCTCCAAATAAAGTATAGAATCCAGGTGTGGAACATCTGTCAATCTTAGACCCAGCATAGTTCAACCTGCCTGTTAGAAGAATAGAATAATCCAAGTCTAGGGCAGGACTTAAGATATTGAAGAATATGATATACCGTATCCATATGAGCTGTACGAAGAACATGCATAAATTGGCTTACAACACTAACTGCAAAAGCCAAATTAGGACAGGTGTTGGCAAGATAAATCAACCTTCCTACCAAGCGCTGATACTGCGAGGGATCAGAAAGGAGATCTCCAGACAGCCGAGATCTTCATATTAGGATACATAAGAGTGGAAGCAGGTTTACATCCAAGCATACACGTGTCTTGAAGAAGATCCTAGACATACTTCCTTTGCGATAAAGAGATACCCTGCTAAGATCTAGCAACCTCAATTCCCAAGAAAAATCTGAGTTGCCCAAGGTCTTTCACATTAAAGGCTTTGGCCTATTGAAGCTTTACTTGAGCAATCCTAGGGATGTCATTGCCAGTAATGATGATATCATCAACATAGACAAAAAGAACGATACATAGACCAGTGGAGAAACGGTGGATAAAACATGTATGGTCAGAATAGCATCTAACAAACTCCATGTATACAATTACATCACTAAAGAACCAAGCTATGGGAGATTATTTTAACCAATACAAAGACTTCCGCAATTGACAGATCTTTCTAGCACACTCCCCCTTAGCCCGAAAACCAGGTGGAGGATCCATGTAAATATTCTCAAGAAGATCACCGTTAAGGAAAGCATTATTCACATCAAGCTAATGAAGAGGCCAATTGTGAGAGGCAGCCAGGGATATAAGCAAACGAATTGAGGTCAATTTAGCCACTGGAACGAAGGTATCATTAAAGTCTTTACCAAGAATCTGAGTAAACCCTTTAGCCACCAAACGGGCCTTATACCGATCAATAGAGCCATCAACCAGATATTTAACACTGAATACCCATTTGCAACAAATAGCCTTTTCACCAGGAGGGAGAGATACAAGCTCCCATATTTCATTATGCTGCAAAGCATCCATTTCTACCTTCATAGCAAACATCCAATTGGGATTTCAAAGAGCCTCAGACACATTTCTGGGAATGCAAATGGAATCAAGTTTGCCTAGAAAAGCTCGGTAAGACCCTGAAAGACCATCATAAGAGATATATTGCGAAAAAGGATGATCAGTACTATAAAGGAATCCAAATCGAGCAAGGGTTTGCGGTCCCGAGGGGGACACCGAGGTTGAGGAACAGGGTTATATAATGTCTCGGATTTTTGTTTTACTTATTTTTTGTACCTCGTTTTGCGTGTCACGCTGTCCCGAGGGCCGTTTAGGTCATTTTCTCTAGCTGGGGGTTTTAGAAATGCATTTTTATTTATTTTGAGCTAATTAGAATTGACGGGATCTTTTTTAGAAGTCGGGACGACTTTCGGGCTCGGGAACTTCTCCCGGTTTTATTATCTTCATTAAGGGGCACTATTGGCATGTCACCCACATATACATATACATATATATATGCATTGAGGAGATATTTTGAGGATATAGATGGTAGTGTAATGAAAGAGTAAGGGCAAAGGAGTAACTTTGTCAAAAGTTAGTAATCACCCAAAGAATGACAAGTGGCATGCTTTGAACCAAGGAACCAAAATGAAGACAGCCATCACCCTCTCTTCCTCCCCATTTTCAGCCATCACCTTCTCTCTCTATCTCCTCTCTTTCTCTCTCTATATCTATCTATACACGTATATACCACAATGTTTAAAGCTTCCATTTGAGGGGTTTAGAGTGGGATCGGTGAGAGGAGCAAGAAGGAGAAGTTGGAGCCCTTGACAAGAGCTTTCATTTTAGACCACCATTGCTAGGGTTTGGAGAATTTCGAAATTGGGGGCTAACTTAAGGGCTTGTTTGGCTAACACACTTGAGGTAGGGGTTTCCTAATGCTCTAAACTTTGTCTTTCACTGAGAAATATTGTTTTGCCCTTCCATTAAATTCAAGTTGAATGCAATATTATGAATTTGTTGCTAGTTGAATGTTAATGTGTTAATGTGTTCCAAGCATGCTTATGTGAAGGAAAGGTGTCATTCGATGTTGAATGTTAAATGCTAACATGATTGAGATGATGTGAATTGTATGATAAGCATACTTTTTTTTTTTGGATAAGTAATTGTATGATAAGCATACTCGTAGTTGGATTATAGAAAATGCCATGTTATGATTATATTACAGAGAATGCCATGTTTATGCCGTTGTTGTTACATGAATAAGATTGAAGTTAAATTGATGAGATTGATGCATATGCATGACATGGCGGGAAAGGGAAATGAGAAAGGGCATGAAATGAATTTTGTATAAAATAAACCAGATTTCGCAAGTCCAGAGCTAATTGGACCTAGAGGGAGCGTGTGCTGGTTGTGGACGTGTAAAGTTAATTACTAGGCCCCCAAATGGTTGCCAGATTTGGAACCAGGGATAATTAATCAATCTCGCCTCGGTTTAGTCAGTTAACGGTTTTCGGAACGAGTTAGGGTCGGTAGAGACCAAGTTTGGGAACAATTGTGCATTGTTTTACATTTCCATGCAAGATTGTGTTGTGTTATGAAAGTGACATTGATGGGATTGATTTGTGATTTAAATGCTATAAAATCCCCTAAGTATGATCCCGGTTTCTCTAAATCCCCATTATGTGTTGTGGGGCTCAAGGGATTCCAAAGTTGGCGCCTTAGGCATCTTCTACTGAGCCTCCATACTCACCCCTTCCTTTAACATTTTTCAGGTCACGGCAAGGACGTGATTGATGACAGACCTCCACAAGTATAGTTGATGTCGTTAAAACCTTCATTTGTAGATTTTGTATATCAATGTTAGCGACAACGACCATTTTTGTATAAGGACTATAAAAAGTTATTTTTGTGAGAAGTATTGTAATTTCGGTCTTAAAGGCCTTATCTATGTAATCGTAACTTCTTAAACAACTTTTGGTACTATTTCCGGGCATGTAAGTAATTAAACGATTGTAATGTTCATTCTTGTCAATTATGTGAATCTTACAATGAAATTAAACCAATTATATTTTTAAAATGATGCATGACGCTGTTAATTAACTTATTAATTGCGCACGTGAGTTGGGATAGGTATTATGTGGTCTATGAGACCAAAATATAATCTAGGACCAAGGGCCAAGCCAAAGGAGTTTGGAGAAGAAAATTGCATTTTTCCATTTTTGGCCCAAAAACACTATTCACCAGCAGATCCAGCAATGGACGACCAGTAGCCAACTTTGGCTACCGGTCGTCGCTTGTCATACGCAAGCGCTGGGGGCGCATCATATGTGCCTGGGGCTTGTCCAAGGTGCTGGATGACCAATAGCGAACTCTGGGCATTGGTCGTCGCTCCCATACTTAGCCAAATTTTCCCCTTTTCTTGTATTTTCAATCCGAACTTTGATGTATCATATCTTACTCGTTTCAAACCCGATTAGACTCATTCTTGAGTTGAAGTTGCACGGTTTTAAACCCTCTTTCACATGGTGTGGGTTTCGTCCTCTTATTTTGACTTGAAAGGACCATTTTACTCTTAGGACCCGGTTAGCGATTTGGACCTCCGGGTTAGATCGTTATAGGTTAGGGAAATGTAAAGGAGAGAGAGGAGATGTACCTGAACCTGTATTTGAGGAGGATGAAGGCAATGGAGGCGGAGCACAAGGGCGGCGAGAATAAACCTGCAAATGGGGTGAGGAAACCACAAGAGAAGACTCTTCTTGAAAAATAGGAAGAGGACGAGCAAAAGGAGGAGCCTCTTGATCGGGAGTAGAAGTTTCCTGCAAGATAGTGTTAAAACCATAAAAGGGGTATGCTAATGAAATGTGACATCAAGAGAGTGATACATGTGTTTGTGTACAGGATTATATCACCGGTAACCTTTTGACATTGAAGAGTATCCTAAAAAGATACAGTTAATGGCGTTGTCGTCAAGT